GCTCAGCTCGTCCGGGTGAGTGTTAGTCCAGCTCAGCTCGTCCATGATAGTGTCAGTCCAGCTCACTTGAGTATTCAGCTCATCCAAGATTGCATAATCTGATGGAAAAACCTCGGCTAGGTCTAGCTGGTCGACAAGGTCACCACCTTGGGCCGTGTCCATGAACCAAGAAGGACGGTGCTGGATTTTGGGTGCATCACTAAGTCCTCATGGATTTGTTTTTGAGGTCATTACTCCCAAAAGATCTCATATTAAGTGGGATTTTGCCAACTATATATATTAGATTTTATTCTGTCTAATATCCGATGTGGGACTTTGATTTACTTTTTATTTATTCTAACATGAAAAGTGCGGCAAAACATGCATACATGACAATGGATGTAGAAACAACCACTGCCACTTGATGATGAAACTGTTATATTAAAGATTTCACATATATCATGGACAAGTAAACATGCGTATAACCCCAAATTGCGGATCCAAAGGGGAATGTATGAGGCTTTTACCACAGTCCAGTTTAGTGATGATGGAAATGAACATAAATCATTAGTGGCTAATGGGGTGGAGGTTTGGTGCGGCTTATGCATATCCTTAACATTTTTATTTTAATTAGATATTCATGTATCACTTTTTGATATGCCACATCTATGTTGTGCAACTTTCTCTTTATGTTATCGAACAAACAAGTTGTTGGAGGTTTCATTCCACTCCAAACCTTGTTCAAAGATCCAGTAGTCTAAAGGCTCATTAAATGAGACAATAAAACCAAGAAGAGCGAAGGTCCGGTCCATCCGAGCTTGAAAGAGAGTCAAAGCCGACCTAACCTAGTCAACTAAAAACGTAAAGGAGATCGGAGATTAAATAAGGCATTGGTGGTGTTGGATACAGGCCAGAGATCAAGCTTTCTTTTTGATCATATCTCAGACCAGCTATAACTAGAGGACGAAGACAGAAGGAGAAGGAGATCTAAGCTTGCGATATTTCAAAACTATAATCATTTTGCCCTCAAATTCATTTGTATTCATATACTTTATGTTCATCATCATTGTATAAACTCTGAGTATCAATAAGAAACCGTTCACTACCTACAAATCATCCACCAATAATCATTTTATTCATTACTTGCTTTCTACGTTAGATTAAACCCTAGCCCTAATTTCTAAGTGGATCATGTGCGGTCCATCACAAGTCAAAATTTGCTAAACGAGACGGTGCTTACAAGGCAGCGTGACTCTTCTTAAATGATAGTTGGGCTTAAGACTTTTGATCCTATCTTCTGGCCCATTTAATCTAACCCTCCAGAGTAGGCCTGGGCATTTTACCCGGACCCGAAGACCCGAACCGGAACCGACCCGAAAATATAGGTTCGGGTCCGGATCCGGGTCCATGCTAAAGTACCTATTGGGTCTTTTTTATTTGGACCTGCGGGTCTCGGGTCGGGTCCGGGTCCTACCCGAGACCCGTTCGGGTACCCGTAGTACCCGCAAATTTTTGCATATATAAGTTATATTTAGGTGTTTGGGTATATTTTTGGTATTTCGGGTATTTTTAAAATTTTCGGGTTCAGGTTTTCGGGTCTAATTTTAGGTTTCGGGTAAAATTTTATATTTTCAGAAAATAAAATTCGGGTATTTGGGTAAATTTTCGTGTATTTTTGGGTTTTTTGGTCTGATTTTTGATAATTTTCGGGTATTTCGGCGGTTCTTCGGGTAATTTTTGGGTTTTCGGGTCTATTTTAGGTATTCGGGTCCTTTTGGGTCCTAAATACCCGGATCCGAAATATACCCGAAAATTATGGGTATTTTACGGGTATTGAAATTATAGACCCGAACCGACCCGGACCCGACAAGACCCGACCCGGAATCGACCCGAAAAATTATAGGTACCTATATGGGTCCAAATTTTTAGGACCCGAAGGACCCGGACCCGACAAGACCCGACCCGAACCCGACCCGAGGACCCGGATGCCCAGGCCTACTCCAGAGTGCACCTCACGGAGAAACTCAAAGTAACATCCACGGATGTACAAAGATTCTGAATTGGAGGCAGAGATCAATATAAACTTGTTGATGAACAAAAATGACATCTATATATGTAGTCTACATAATGTAGAAAAACCAGCAGCACACACACATAGAAATGATGAAACAGAAATACTGATTTATGGATTGGGAGATCACAAAAACTGCCTCCATCCAAATGCTAAATGAGCAGAAAAACCCTAAACTAAATGTCTAAAGCCTAAAATGTTATGCCCTTTTTTCAAAAGAAGGGTCTCATGGGACAAGCAGATGAGCTTTGTGAAAACTGAGAACTGTCCATATCATCCCAAAGCGGACTCTCAGGACCCCATCCCGCTGTAACCGCATTGAACCACGCTTCAGCCATCCCTTCCTCTAACCCACCATCACTAACCGCTACTTCTTCCTTGCTCTCCACGTTAACCTCGTTTGGCTGCAACGTTTCTGATTGTCCCTGATCCAACGAGCTTGACTCACCAGTTGAATCTTGAACCTCAACTTCTTTATTCACAAAATGCTCCGGAAAGTTAAGTGTTGCGTTATGACCTCTCAATTTAAAAGCTTGACGGTCATAGGCCATTGCAGCTTCTTCAGCTGTATCAAAAGTACCAAGCCAGAGACGTGCTCTGCTCTTTGGCTTACGTATCTCCGCGACCCATTTGCCCCATTGACGTTGTCTTACTCCTCTGTAAAGCTTGGTTGCGCTGTAGGGTTGAACACTACTTTCTTGGTTCATCATCATCATTCTTCTTCCTCTTGGGCTTAGATTCAACGTGTCGCTCCAGTACTTGAACATATACTGCTGTTGTGGCTGTTGAGGACTAAACGAGATCATTTGCTTCTGGCCTTGTTGGTTAACCGGAACGTATCCAAGTTGTTGTTGATTATGAAACGTTGGATCAACAGAAAAAGGGAAAGCAGCCAAGGAGTTGGAAGAAGAAGAAGAAAATGAGAAGTAGGGTTTAGGTCGATGATCAGAGTTTCTAATCTTCTTGATAGATCGTGGGGACGTTGTTGAAGAAGCTTCTCCAGAAGAAGTATCTATATTTTTACCTTTGGTGGTACAGAGATTAAGCTCCTCGTCAAAGTCCATCTCTCTGTTTAACTGGTGACTTACAGTTTTGGCGCAACAGAGAGTAGTGGAACAAAGAGAGAGAGAGCTAATGAAAAACAAAGAATATTGAGACAGAGAGAGATGACTCCATGAGGGTTTATATATGAGACCTTTGGGGCATAGCTTTTGTATTTAGTTATAAATATCTCATCTTTCGGTTGACTACTTCAAACATTATTACTTTCCTTTCACCCTAACCCATTCATTGTGTTGGATATTTTATAGTTCTGAAAAAAAAAACACTAGCATTTAAGAAGAAGAAAAAAAAAGCATATCTTCTTCTTTTTTAAAAGGTTGTGTTAATTTTTCATAATTTTAAGATATATATAATTTAATATTTATGTTTTATATACTAGTATTAAACTTAAATCGAAAATTTTAATTTCTACTAGAGATGCTCTAAAATATTACTTTGCTTACACTCTAATTTATTCCCCCGGTCCATACCATTGGTCTTTTTGTAAACTAAATAAATATTCAGCATATTAAAAAGGAGACGTTGACACATAAAAACACAACGCGGAGATACAAACATTATCTGTTATTTTTGGACGGTGGAAGATATTTATTCGTGCTTGCTTGCTATATGGGACAAGTCGCAAGCTCAAAAGATAAGATTAAACTGTTAGAAAATATCCATAATTAATGACATTGACAAGGTTAATGCAAAACTGAATGGAATAAATTTGATGATGGTGTAATGGTATAATGGTCGGCTAGTTGCGGCTGAGGATTACGTCCCACAAGAATTAAAAATTCTTATGACAACCTATTATTAGGGATATATTACATAGTTTATTATATAGGGTACTTGACTATAGTAATCAATCTTCGGGGTCGGTGATTATGGTCAAATTCAGCTTTCAGTTTTTAGGATATTTTGTTTTTGTCTCAACCTCTGAAAAGACACTCGCAAAACCGACCATCTTCTTGTTCTTCCTTCTTTTTCCTTGCCTTTTGGTTTTAAAAACCGACCAAGCTACTTTGACAAATTATAAAATTTATTTTCTCAGACAAAATCATTTTTCTTCTTAACTAATCTCAACGTATTATATCACGTGCATATATATGCATGATGTTATTCTTCGAATTATTCCCAATCTTTAATTTTATGTCAAGGTCAACTAATTCTTGAATTCATAGCTATGAAAAAATTTGAAAGGCAAAAAAATAGATTAGTTAACCAGATAATGGAAGGCAGAGGTCCTTTGGACCAACAACATTGCTTGTATCAAAGTGTTGACATAGCCGAATAACTCTTTTACAACAACAAAAAAGTAATTTATGATGGATCAAAATCAAATAAACTTAAACAAAAAAACAGGGCAAACATTGTGTTTCCTCTAAATAAAAACTACATTAAATCAAGAAACAACTACGAAATCAGCAGACTCCTTAAGAGTTTTTCTTGCACGCCAATACACACCATTGGCCGTCTCTGATGTTCCCATCTGCAATACTCACCAGAATGAAAACAAGGTCAATAGAGCATTTGACATAAGTCAAAGTTTGGATACGAGCCTTGATGTCAAGAATCTCTCTTTACCTTTGTCTCCAACGAGTAGTAATCTTTCCAGAGCTCCACATCTTGACTGTAACTTGCAACAGCAGAATCATAAAGCTTCCGGGCATTACTCAGACTATCTTTATCCCCCTGAGATGCAAGATCGGTCTCTATTTCAATGCAATCTTTGTAGAAAACAAGACCAGGACGAGGAAGAGCCGAGAACCTGCAAGTATTAGCACAAACAGTGATGAGAAATAAAGTGGCATGTGTGTGTGTGACTCATGCCAAAAAGGAGAATTGATTCACCTCTTGTATAACTCCCTTGCACTGTGGATCCCTTTTGCTTGAAGAACAAGTTTTACCACTACGGATGCGAGAGAAAACACAGGGTCGCTCCCGTTATTACCTTTGGCTACTGATAGGATGGACATCTCTACAAGCTTGTCAAAATATTTTTTCTCCTGAGCAAAGATTTTAAATGCCTGTGATACAATTAGCTTCTCATTAGTTTTGGTTTATATATCAACACCACAATAAGGTGTATATTAGTCACATACCATAAGCCACAAGCTCTCAGATTCTGCAATCGGTACTTTCTTCAAAGCGTTTGAAAGAAGCTCAAAGGTTGACTGCAAATCTGCCTTACTCGGAGTAGAGTCACTTGAAAGTAATCTTGTTTCAATGGAAACTCTTGAAAGCCATAGCTTAGCTGATCCCGCAAATTTTCCAGAGCAAAGCTCTTCTGCTAGCTTCAGAGCATCATCGGTCCTTTCCAGTTTCAAGTACAGAGAAACATAATCATTAGCAAACTCCTCAGTCAAACACCCGCTTGCATCAGCCTTTTCGTACACATTTATGAGATGTGAAATGAACTCCCCAGTCAGATCAGACGAAGGTAGAGTTTCATCATCATCGCCATTTGACCGTTCAATAGCCTCCATCAGAAACTTTATATACATCTCAAACATAGAGCTTGAAGTAACAGTTTGCACGCCCTCTTCAAAAACCTGCGTTTAAAAGACAAGACATAAGACATCAGATATTGTTCTTTCTATTAGTAGGTCTGAACAAACTGGGCAGAAGTAAGGTATTGAACATAAAAGCTACGATTCTATTCCGATAATCCATTTTAGACAAGTGCAAAACACCTATGGCTGCCAATTTCCTAAACAGACTTGAGCAGTTAATGAATATGTATCTCAAGTTATAAGCCAAGGTGAGTTTTACCTGAATTGCCTTTTGCATTTGAGGATTCGCAAACTCTCCGCTAATACAACCACTCATTTCATGCCTTGCAAGCCAATTCCAGTATTCAGGGTCGCTAGAAAAATCACGCTTCAGGTCACTAAGAATCGTATTGCGGATATCATCTGAATGGGCCAAATCTGTTGCATCTAGAATCTCCAAAAAACGCCTCCTCAAGTCAAAACTAGAGGGAAGAGCATCAACAGCTCCACCATAAATAGCCTGAAGAACATTAGATCCCTTTTCTTTAAAGACATCAACTTTCTCACTCGCATCCTCATCATCATCAACACCAGAGCCGTCCTTGTCCTTTTCTTCTTTATCATCTAGAGACATAAACAGCTCTTTATTCTCATCTTTCCATTGTTCATCCTCAACAACCCTCTGGTTACGAACCAAACTCCCTTCACCTTCACCAAGGGCAACCTTACGAGCTTTCAACTTGTTCAGATAAGTAAGCTCCATTCTCAGATACTCCACCCACAAATCCTCAGAGTTCGGACAAACTCTCAAACCATTCTGCATAAGAGCACGAGCTGCAGCCACATTCAAGTTCCGATCAAACTCCCAAGCCGCAGCATATATCCACACTTCAGCCACTTTCGGGTGAAACCTAATCACTTGAGCCAAGACCTACACATTGCATAAGATAAGATAAATCATTCTAAACATACCCAACAAACAAAGCTCTAAAACACCAACGAACCTCCACGTTCATTATGATCTACATATATATATTTGTCTTAGAAAAATAAAAAATGAAAAATATTTTTAATATAAAAATTAATCTAAATTATAATATTATATAATAATTAAAATGTTATGGAGAAAAACTTTAATAAAATTTGAGGAAAAGGTTGATACTTTATAAACCTAAACCTCTTAAACCCTTGACAAAGTCTTAATTTTTATAACCTAGGGGTTTTACATTGCTTCTATTAAACCCCAAACACAACCCTAAACCCTAATCAAACAGAGCAAACCCCAAAAACAATCCTAAACCCCAAACAAACCCCTAAACCCTAATCAAACCTCAATGTTGATTATAATCTATATATTTGTTCTAGAAAAAATGAAACTGAAATAATATTTCAATATAATAATCAATAGAGTTAAATAACAACATTTATGAAATTTATAATAATTAAAATGAGATGGAGAAAAACTTCATTTAGCTTTGAGGAAAAGGTTGATACTTTATAAACCCTAAACCCTAAACTTCAATTAACTTTTTTTACATTGCTTCTAATTGGCCCTAACCAAACAGTCCTAAACCCTAAACCCTAATCAAACAGCCCAAACCCCTAAACCCTAATTTACAAAAAGCAGTTAAAAAGGATCATACCTTTTTCATTCTCCCATTCCTCTTCTGCCTACAAAACTCCAAATACTTAAACCAAAGACTAATATCTCCCTTAAACCTCCTCGTCGCAAGCCTATAAATCTCCACAATCTTCGCCAGACCGGCGTAATCAGAAATAGACTTCATCTTCTTCTTATTCTTCTCACCAGACTGAACCGACGACACAGCCTTCCTACGCAACCGTCTGAGCTCATCTAGCTGAGTCTCGTAGTCGATGTAAGCTAGAAAGTCCTGTTTGAGCGGGCTCGGACGCTTGAGACGGTACTCGAACTTGCGTCGCTGTTTCACGATCTCGGAGATCTCTGCACGAGTGAAGATTCCTCGGCGTTCTAGGTCGTCTAGCTCGTCGACCATCCGCTCGAGGCGGTATTGAACAACGTCCGCCATTGTTGTTGGTTGTTATTTGCTTTAGGTTCCGGCGCGGGAGACTGTGTGATTCTTTAGGGCGACAAGGTTTTTTTCCGTTTCTTTTGATATCTGTAGGGCAACGCTTTAAATGGTTTTTCTTTTAATGGGCTGTATAGCAGAAAGCCCAATGTTTTAACGGCCCATTGTTATTCAAGTTGCGGATAGCTTACAGCTATCGTTAGGGCTTTGCAAAGGACCGTATATAATGGAGTTGTAAGTTGTCTCTCCTTCCTTCAGAGTACATCTCTGATCTCTCTGTTGTCTGTTTCGTTTTTCGTTAGTGTGGTTTCGAGATTAGATTTATAGTTTTTGGGTTTGTATGTGGTTTTATTGTTTGTTGGATATGTGGGGAGAAACGATGTTTGTGTGTTTGTTTTGTTGGTTAATGTGCCTCACTCACCTTTAGCTTGTTTTTGAGAATGCTCAACGAAAACAAATGCTAGTCATAGAGGCATATATTGAATCGCTGTGTTTAAACGTGGAGGCATTCTTTTTTATAGTTTCGCCTCTAAAATTATCCGCTAAACTTCCGTGTTTGCTCA